GCGCGCGCGCGGCACCCCTGCCGCCGGCTTCCCTCCCGGTCGGCTCAACAGCGCGGTGGGACTCGACCTCGGTAGAACAGCCGCCGCGCACGCACGCACGCACGCACGCACTGATTGTTTGTCATCGAAGGGGCCGATGAGCGATATTCATTTGCAGAAAAGAGAAAATAGTAGTGTCAAAAAAAAAAATACCACGTTGCGTGTTTCTTTCATCGACCCCTCCCACATAAAGAGAAGCCACAGTTTAGTTTCAAGATTCGCGGCCAAAGAGCACTCGTTTCCTTGCGTCCCGCTCGCACCTTTCGCCAAGCGGGATTTTCCACCAAAAAACCCAAATTGCGGGCGGCCCGGATTTGCCGCGCTTTTGCATCTCTCCTGTTTTGCAGGACCGGAAGACGTGAGCGACTACGACCCAAACGTCCTCAGCGACCCCCAGTGGCCTTGCGGGAAGCACAAGCGGGTGCTGATCTTTGCCTCTTACATGGTGAGAAGCCTTTTTTTCAACGTGCCGCAACACATCATCAACATATCGCTATTTGACATTTGAGCCGTCACCCGGTCCTCGTTTTGCTGGTTTGCGCTTCGCGTGGCCAGCAAAAATGCGGAGACGTTTGACCGCTCGATCGGGGAAACAAACTTGACAAACACCTGTCCTCTCTCACTTCCTGCGGTGAGCTCCGAATGAAAGCGAAAGCATCGGTCGGTTGCTTTGGTGGGGCTCTGAGGAAAGTGAAGAGGAAGGAGCAGGGGAAGAAATCCAGCCAATTCAAGTTCGCAATCCTCTTCTGCTCGCGTGTTTTGCCAAAAACCGTACGATGAAGAAAGCCGAGAACCGGTGGAACTTGGACTATTTCTCCTTTTGGATGCTCAAATCGGAATGATTTTGCCACACTTCTTGTTTTGACCTTGATCAAAAAAGGTTCTCGAAAATGTCCTCTGGGGAAACGGTGACGGCGCGCCAATTAGATGCGCACGCATGCACGGCGACCGCCTTCATGTCAGCTTAGCGGGCCGCGCGCTAGGCGGCAGCTTAGCGGGATCCGTTCCAATCAACGCGCGCGCGGCCGCTTAATCCATCCTGACGGATTTTCACGACGGCGGCCGTGCCGCGTGTGCGTCAATCGTCAGCCGTGAGGAAGGACGCCCGGTCGGAGGCCCTCCGTCGGCTGCAAAGTGAGGCGTGAAAACCCAATCCAACTGATTCCTTCCCGTTCTCGCAGACCACCGTCATCGAATACGTCAAACCCTCCGATCTGAAGAAAGACATGAACGAGACATTCAAGGAGAAGTTTCCACACATCAAACTCACCCTGAGTAAGATCCGCAGGTAAAGTGACGCCGCCGAGAATGGCCAAGCGGGAATGCGGCTTTCAAGGGCGGGGCTGGGGGGGGCTCACGCTTGCTCCCAAAATTGCTCGCGATCTTTTGCTTCTCTACGTCTCAGTCTGAAGCGAGAGATGCGGTCGGTGGGCGAGGATTGCGGCCTGCAGCCCGCCACCATCGCCATGGCCTTCGTCTACTTTGAGAAGTTGGTGTTGGAAGGGCGACTCAACAAGCACAACAGGTAGGCCCGCTTTTGTGTTGGCCACTCGAGAGGAGGTCAGAAAAGAAGGATTCCTTCCTTCGCCCTCGCCAACCGCCGTGTGCACAAAGTGCCCTCCAAAAAAATCCAATCCAATGTGACCAGAAGTGCGTTTCCCTCCCAAAACAAGTCCACCGGGCATGCTGACTCGTTGGCCCCCTCTGGTGTTAGCATGTCGTCACTACAACTCAAGTCGTTTTTCTTTTCAAATGAGCTCAAGTCGAAGCTTCCCCTTTCTTTGACTTGATCGAACAGGAAGTTGGTGTCGGCCGCCTGCATCCTATTGGCCGCCAAGATCAGCAGCGATCTAAGGAAACAGGAGGTCATACATCTCATCGATGTAAGAAACGCACGCACGCACGCACGCACGCACACGCACACACACACAAAAAAGACTGCGGTGCGCAAATCGATAGCTCGTGGCAAATGCTACGTTTGCACGTGGCAAGCAAGCCCCTCGAACGTATTTGCGAGTCCGTTTGGGTATTTTGCCAGTCCAAATAGTTGTGCTTTTGGGATTCAGGCAAAAAAACTTGACATGGGCGCGAGCTTCCGACTTTCCGCCACTAGATGGCAGCAGCGAATTTCACCGCATCAAAACGGCCTGAAATGATGGCGAATCAACTGTTGGTTCACTTTGCGGTCCAAGTGCCAAGTAACTGCTGGCTTTGTGCTGCAGGTGATGTCATCCCATTTGTTTTTCTGGGGGTGCGTCCGAAGTAAGTGCTGAGATGAAGCCGGATGATGTCCGTTGGATGAAAGCATGAAATCGTGGCAAAGATATATTAGAAAGCATGGCAAAAAAGCACCAAAAAAAAGTACACATTGACGATCAAGTTGAGTGAAACGTTTACCAAACTTTGTGCGTGCCGTTGCCGTGTCTTGAGCAGAAGCTGGAGGAGCGCTTCAGGATCGGCAGACGGGAGCTGATCAGCTTTGAGTTCACCATCCTGGTGGCCCTGGAGATGGCCCTCTACCTCCCGGAAAGCAAAGTCATGCCACATTACAGGCGGCTGGTGCAGCAGCAGTTGTAGCTCGCCGCGCTTCCGCCCCTTGCTTCA